GCACTGGAACAGGCTGCCCAGGGAAGTGAGTAGCCATCCCTGGAGGTATTTAAAATACTTGTGGATATGTTGCTTAGGGACATTGTTTAGTGGTGGACTGACTTGGCAGTGTTAGGTTTACACTTGGACTTGATGATCTTAAAAATATTCTCCAACCTAAATGATTCTGTGATTCTATGATTAAAGGTATCTAATTGAAATATCAGAGGGAGCCACTACATCCTTCAGAATATGGAGCAGGTTTTCTTGTTTTAAGCACTCAGAAATCTAGATGCAAATACATTTAATATGCACATTTTAAATTGACTGCATAAACATTAGAAAATTAACACACAACAGACTTTGTAGGAACCTTTTTCATGGATTATAAAGGAGAAATCAGGAGAAAAATGAATTTGTTTTAGCATTAGCAGGATTAGCAAATAGAAACCAAACAGGAGTGAGCTGTTCCAATTGCTGTACATTCCCTGTGTTTAGTACACAGAGGACAGCTGACAGTAAAAATGCAAGATTTACTTTCACAAATGTTTGGGGAAAAAACTCAAGCTTTTAAAGAAAATTTCCCCATTTGAAAGCAATGAATTCCACGAATCCTGCAATCCTACTTACCTGAAAACTTCTTTCATAGAAGAGAGATAGCATTTTAAATAAGGCTTTTGATTTGGCAGTGTATGAACTAGGATAAGAGATCTACTCAACTTCAGTGATGCAGGCTGCCTTAGAAATAGGTCTTACATTGTTGTCAGATCAAAAGATTTTATTTCTCAACTATCTCAAAATGTGTGTTAGACATTATCTGTAATACTAACACTTTTGAAAGTCTTATGTGAAATATTTGAGGATAGAGTTAAAGGAGCAGGATGTGGCTTAGTGTGATCCCACTCTCGTTTGACAGGATGGAAGATTTAAGGTTGATTTCAATGGAAGTGGGGTCACTTCTTCTATCAGTACTGTATCACAGAATGGACGAGTTGTGGGTTAGGGTCTTCTCAAAACTCTGACTCTTAGGCCTGTCACGGCAGAGCAGAGGCAGCAGTACTTTGGTGATTTAGGGAGATCCTCAGCTGTGACACCAGGCAAGAGACTGCTTTTGGTTTCTGAGCTACTTCTGCTAAGTTTTGCATTTGACCCAAGAGGACAAATCAAGAATTGCTTTTCAAATGACTAAGAAAGCTAAGCTTATGAACGTTTAGAGAAGTGTTTTAGAAAGTTTCACTTTTGCTGGAATGCTAGGGTTTTATTTAAAACTGGAATGACTATTTACATTCTCCAATTATGTGAGCTACCTTGTTACTTCAACCAGTGCCAAAGAGTATTTTTGGACTTGGTAGTTGCTGACTTTCCTCAGACTGTTAGAATACATGTCATGAACTTCATACATAGAACTTCATGTCATGATCTTATTAATATTATCACTTACAATAACTGAAAATACAGACTTATGAGCACATAGTCCTTGCCTCCAAAGTTTGCCATTTACTTTATTAACAAGAATAAATTGCAGTGGGAAAAAAGTAATATTTTTGTGGTTATGGGAGGATAAGTTTTTCCATTTGTTCATTAATCTTCCTTCTTCTGCATCATTCATCTTTCTCATTTCTGATTAGATGTTCCACCAGTATACTGTGTGGGATGCCACAGATATTTGTGGATATCCAGTCTACATCTCCCTTTTTATCTAGTTGTCATGTAGTTTTAGTTAAGATCTCATATAATAAATAAGCCATTTATTTATACATAAAATATCTTCCCCACTCTCTTGCTTTTTGTTTTATTTAAAAAAATCAAAGTATTTGTGCTAGAATCCTTTAAGAAGCAGTATTTAGACCTCTATGGCTTTTTGACATAGAGTGGTAGTTTGACTTATGATGACCATGTCCATAATCGCATCTCTGTATTTATTTTTCCTCCTGAACTTCTGAATGGTGATGTTTAGTTTAGTACCATACAGCACTATAGATCTGCCAACAGCAATAACATATAGAATACTATATAATTGTTGAATCATAGAGTTCTAGACTTTATCCATACCCACAGAAAATCACTTGGCAGTAAGCTACCAAACCCATTTTTTTTCGTTGCTTGTGTTTTAATTTTTTTTTTTTTTTACTTTAGCTGCTGCTCAAAATGAAACACCTGGGAGTTTAATTGCTCATTATACTTAAATCTGCGAAGTATTGTGGGCCAGAACATACTGCCCTGTGCAAGATGTTTGTAGACATTAATCTGTTTGGTAGCAAGGATGATGGAATGAGCTCAAATTTGCTACTGATTTAATACTAAAGAATGTAAATCCCACCCTGGTCATAGTCTACCAAGTTTCATCATTTCCCAGACATATTCTTCAGAGTATTCTCAGGCTCACAGTTTCATTCATATTGGTAGCCTGTCTTATAAACTGGTGTGCTTTCAGACAATCTATAAATGTAGTGTGCAAGCTGATAATCAGACCCACCCATGAAGAAGTGGCATCTATACACCTGTAGCTATGCTTGTATTTGATATTTCAGACACCCTGCTCTCTCTTCTCTGAGAGAATCCAACATACTGTTTTGGATGATTGCAGCTCTAACTGGAAAGCAGTGGATATGATCAGTGTTTGCTCACTCTTCTGTTCGGTATGTGTGCAGTAACTGATGGTATAGTACTTTGAGGTCATCTTCCTTCAGCAGTTTGCATTTGGCTCAGCTTTTAGTTCATTTTTTCCCAATGGTGAATTTACTTGCTCTTCAACGGCTGTACCTATTTGGCTGAAAGTTGCTGAGAAAGATATTGTCCAGAAACAGTTCTCAGAAATGGTAGAAGTAAGTTCATTTTCTTGCCAAATGAAATGGTATAACATCTATTATTTGAGTCTACAAAATGTGTTTTATTTTTTTTGTTCTGGGTTATCTATTAATTTTTGTATTGGGTTTGTAGTGGAGATGGAATATTTGTGGGTGTGAGGCTACACGATCTCAGCATTTTCTCTAGACATGGGCCACATTTGTTGCCCTTCAGCTCATTAATGCAGTAAGGTCTGTATAGACAAAGAAGAAATACCAGCTGAACTTACTCTTTTCAGCATTTTCCACATGGAGAGCATCAGTAATTTTAGCTTATATGATATAGAGAAGATGTAGTTGTGTTTGATAAAAATCTTGTGTCCTTTGGATCCTATGTCATTTCTACATGCTTTATACTTACAAGATCAGGAGAAATGAACTGCGTGATGCTCAGGATTTTCTGAAATTGTCCTGAGATGGTGGTGGCACAGGACTGTTAAACACGGGCTTTCCTCTTTCGGTGCTTGGAGCAATATTCCAGATGGTGTTTCCTTTGGTCTGTTCTCCTGGAGGATGGGAGGTTTAATTTTGCTTGCACAGTTGCTTTCAGTTTAGTACTGATAGATCAGGAGTTCTTAAATTAGTGTTGTTGATTTGGATTTCTTTTGTGTATTTTAAATGACTGACCTGCCTATATGTGCTTGGAGCTGAAGGTCAATGTATGCTGATCTAAATAATAGAATACTGCATAATAGAGCTTCCCTGTCTTTCTTGTGTAATCCTTTTGAGTTTCTGAGTAGACTTTTGCCATACAAAGGGCAGCTGATTGTAATATAAACAAAGAAAAAATATCAGATTAGCCATGGGATAAGGTTTACTACTTATACTTAAGACAGGCACAACTTTATAAGGGGGAGAAAAGATGGCAAAAGTTCCAAATGTAGCTTTGTTCATTTTTCCTGTTCAGAAATGTATTGTTAAAGCATTAAAACTTTGTATTAACAAGTCTATAATTGTATTTAAAAATAATGATATTTTAAATGTTAATTGAAAAGCTAAAATATCATGTTAGGTCCTTGACAAATATCTAATTATTTCCATTCCAGTAATGCTTCTGTAGTCTCAAATTGAATGTAATTATAAAAATAAAGAATCAATGCACAAAAGAAGTAATATTAGGTAACTTTTATTGCATTTACATAACAATCTTTCAAATGTGGACTTGAAAACTAATTCAGATATTAAAAACTGTGAAAGCAATATGACCAAATAACAGTGCACATATTTTCTTTAAAGCTACTGCATAAAGAGCCAGACAATTCTGCCTTCAAGGTTGTTCTCAATAGTAACGTTAGGCTTGCCACTTGTATTTCTTTTACACCCATGCAGCAAAATTATGCCTCCCAGAGGTAAGTTTTGATATTGGAGAAAGGTGCTGCTGAGAACAGGTGTAACCTAAAAGCCTCCTGTATTGACTAAGCCTCAAGAGAATATAAAAATCCTATCGATGATGATGATCACATAATTCTTATATGCTGGTATTTCACACTTTCTTTGCATAGATACAAATTTCTGTGTTCCCCAGCATCTTCTGAATCAATTTTACTTCCTTTATGGGAGCAGAAGAAAAGGATCAGCAATCTGGAGTAATGGAACCAGTCACACATTTAATAATAATTAGCAGAGTGTAGCGAAGTTTATTTCGTTTATAGTCACAAAATTGTTGGCTTCGTATTACTTTTAGAAATACTGATGAGCTCTAATCTGGAAAAAACATTAAGTGATTATGATGCCTGTAGAAATTAAACATGAATTAAATATGATGGTTTGGTCGAACAACACTGCCTGTTTCATAGAATTTGTAGCTCTTATTTTAATTCTAACATGCACGTTTAGGTTTCTATTCTTGTCTGTGTGTGTGTAGTAGCTTTCTAGCCTCGCATACTGATAAAGGGAAAATTAATTTCTTTTTTCAAAGAAGAAAAATGTAAAAATTCAGTACATTTCATTATGGGACATTAATAAGGTGATTTCCATGACAACCATACAGTAAGATCCATGTTTACTTTGTTTCTGAGTTCTTAGTGTCTTTTTAATGACTCCTGTGTAATTAAAACAGAATGCATAATTTGAGGTTACATATTATAAATCAGTTTTGTTTGCATGATGTTGAATAAAGTTAATACATGTACACTATACTGTTTAAGAGCCTTACATGGATTTGTCTGGTTGCAGAACTGTGAGAAACTAGAAAATAATTTTGATGACATCAACCACACAACTCTTAGTGAGCGAGGAGCACTTCGAGAAGCAATGAGGTAAGTCTGGGTCACCATAGCAACAGTCACAGATGTGGTAAAGAAAGAGTCATTCTTCATTATTGGGGGAACAAATGAGTTCATTGCCACCATTCAGCTCTATTCTCTAAGGTATTAATTTGTCAGTGGAGAGGCTTCCCTTGAGGCTGTGCTTTGGTTTTGAAGCTGCATAAATGTTAAGCCTGACTGCACAGTAAAAAACGTAAATGTTTAATTTGTTATTTAAAATGCTTAAGGGGTGCCTTGCTTCATATTTATACTAAACTGTGAGTGAATGAAAATATTGTTCATCTAAATTCTGTAAGTGTTAAAGTACTTGTACAATGCTGTTAGAACAAACCTGTGTTTGCTTTTAAAATGGATTTGATATTTATGTATGTACTTCCTGTGTACTCTGATTTTATCACCAGATTTACATACTTTTGTTTTTGCTAATGGAACTTTAAAATCTATCTGTTCCTTCATATATTGTGGAGGTGTATACTTCATATCATTGCACTTAATGCTTATTAGCGGAGGTTAAAATTAGTCAGTACATGAATCTTCTGTCACCCTTACTTGCACTGTAGAGTATCTGGGTACAGGTCTCCAAATAAACTTGTCAGCCATAGTACCTGGAAAAGGGAATGATCGCTATGTTGAAAGGTGGTGGAATCAAAGACAGATTTTGTTAAGTAACTCACTGAATAATCAGGGAGGTGTTAATTATAGTATTATCTGTGGATGAGAAAATTGTAGTAACCTGTACTTCTAAAGATTTTGAAAGCTGGATAGTAAAATGTAATAATGCAAAACCATAGTGCTTCATTTCACTTGCCCGATATCAGAGTAACTTCTTAGACTTGCGCTAGTGCAGTAGAAAGTAAAAACAACAACAAAAAATACTGAGAATCTTCTTGAAAAACTAATTACACCCATTTGCTTTGATTGTGTTCATAATCCCTTTAACTTTATGGATGTGTGTGAATGACTTTATTTGCATGACTGACTTTATGTTCATGACACTCTTGTCTCATGTATGCGGCTATGAGTATGTGTTTGTAAAAGTATTCTGACTTGAAATGGAACCTGCCTCTTTTGAAGCCTTTCTTATTACCTCCAAATTATATTCTTTCCTTTCTGAACGTTTCAACTACTAGTGTTGCAAATAACTGTAAAAATAATGGTATTCACGTTTCTAATTGTGATTTCTTGCTCTTTGCTTGTTTTGCTTCATACATTTAGGGTTTTCTCCCTTTGTGGTTGGTTATCTATGTGCATAGATCTTTCGTGTAATGCCAGTAAATGGAAAGTGATTTAAAATAAAGATTTGCAGAACTTTTGGCATGTGAAGCTACTTTTAGTATTTTCAACAAATTGGATTTCAGGTTGCTGCTCTCCTGTAACAACGTTCCATGGTTAGGTTTGCGATGTTTTGCGATACATGACTCAGCAGAGTTAATCTTTTAAAAACTTGGGAGCTGACAGCTCTTTGGTGATAAACATTCACTAGAAAAGGGAGCTTTGGCATTTCAAAGGTCATGCTTCTGTTACAAGGACTGTGTAGAAAATTCTCATGATTGTATGCTGTGCATACAATAAAAAGCACTTTACTATCTCATAAATTTGTATCCTGGCTATTTTTGCTAGTGTACAAGCCATTCTGAGAAATAGTGATTGATTGTGAAGTGTGACAGATATTGTGCAGTGCTGGAATTCTCCTAACTGCAGTCAATGTTCTATGGTTGATTTTTTTCTTAGTTATTTTTATGTCGGTAATGAAAATACCCAACTTAATTAAGACTGTAGTATGTTTTTGTAGCATATTTGAGTAACACGAGAAGTGCAAAATGTTAATTTAGAGAGGTATGTGCATGTAGGTGTATGTATTTTTCTAAATGTGTGTAAAAGACACTTACTTTAGGCTGTACCGTTCTTTCAGCTGCTACATAGTCACCCCATATCCTTGATGGCTGCATTTTTCTATTTGGATCCCAAGATTATCTGTAGCATATGTAATTCAAATGGTACATTTTGAAAGATTGAAGTTCACTTTGCTTTCCTTAGTGGACATCAGACCAGATGTGAGAGGACATAGATGTGCTGGCCTCAGTATTGTGAGATACGTGCCTCCTTTTGGTAAGGGAAGCATGTGGAGAGGGTTGCACATTGCACAAAAGCACTAAAATCATGTGGGCATGAAAACAACAACAACAAAAGAATCCTAGTTGGATAGCTAAGCGGATATATGTGGATCTCAGATGAGCCTTAAGTTAAGTGGGCAGTCTGCCCAAATCCTCTCTGATTTCCCAGAGTGGTACTACTGGTCTGCCAGATGAGATACAATGAACATTTTTCCCCAGTGCTCCTGTTTGGAACAAGACCTTCCATTTTAACTTTCTCTTTGAGAAAAGTGGTCAATTTAGTGTGGGTTTCAGTACATTTCTAGTCCATGAACATCACTGTGCTCTGCATAAACAAACAGTAATATCCAAGAAGGGTCTTGTTCTTTTTCCAGCTCCTCAGAAAATGAATGGCATGCAAATTAAGGATTACATGAAAATCATCTTGTCTATGTATATAGATGTATGCAAAATAAACTTTCTGAAGGGCTTTGAAATGTTCTTAAAGCATATGAACTTTCTCTAGTTCTACTTTACATACTATTTTAGACCTTGAATGAGATAGTGAGCTGATAGTAGTTTGCTATTACTTAGTGTATAAAGAGTGGTATTGTAAGAATTTGGTTTACTTATGACTGCACATAAAATCTTAAAGCATTCAATTCAGTTAATATTTTGCTGATTTTGTTAATGTACTCCAAATGGTTTATTTATTATTATATTTTAATGCAATAGCAAAGCTTAAGTCAACAATTAAAATACATTAGTTTTTTGAATTGGGGTTTATAAATGGACAGACTATTCCTTTACATACCTTGAATCTGTATACGATAATTTAATTGGGCATTTTATGTAGTCACTTGGCAGAAAAATAGCGTAGATATGTATCTATAATGTCAGGTTGCGTAAGTAAGAGCATTAAGCTTTTGTTAAACAGGGCTCAATTTGTTCTTAATATATAATCACTGTAAAAAATCTGGTTCCTGATCCTCAGTAAGGCTTCATCTAGAAATTTAAAGGAGCTTTTAGAATGATCTGGCTGCTATGAGGAGATAAGTATTTGAGGAGGAGGAAGTGGCATAGCTAACTATGCTAACCCTGGTAGTCTTTTCATAGATGGCAAAACTAGAATGTGAGCTGCTGCAGTAACCATTCCTTTGGGAAAGCAGGGTAAAGTAGCCTTGAGGAGTCTTAAAAACAAAAAACCCCACAATGAACACACCCCCTCACACCCTTCTTCCTCCACATCTATAAAGTAACTTTTAGTAGAACTGTGGAAGAAATCCAAAAACAATTATTAATACCAATTTAGAATAAGATAAGGTTTAGGGAGTTACTGGGTTTAACAAGATGAAGGACATTTCAGAAAGCAGTAGACATCAGCTGGCAGGAAGGGAAATTTTTTTCCACTGAATCCCTTCACTCACTTTGTGTACAGGCATCTGTTGTTGTATTCAAGGGAGAGAATCATTAGACTTACTGAAGTTGGAAGAGACTGTTGGAGATGCTGTAAACCAGTGGTCGCCAAACTTTTTTGATTGTGCACCAGGAAAATGTTTTCGAGCATGCACCCCCAATATGTGTATGTTTATGTCTTTATAAATTATATACATGTACCACTGTACTAATATGTTAGGTGTGTTATAAAACACAAGAATAGAAATTTGAAAAGGATGAGATCAAGATTAAATAAACACTACTTCATTTTTTTTTAAAAATTATTTATTAATGGTACAAAAAATATTTTCTTCCCACATCCAAGTGGATTGTCTTGCGCACACTCCACTTTGGAGATCACTGATCTGGACCAACTTTCCTTCTTAGGGCAGGGTCAATTAGAGCAGGTTGCTCAGGGCTGTGTCCAGCCAGGTTTTGTTTATCTCCAAGGATGGAGACTCCACAGACTCTTAGGTCAAACATCCTCACAATAAACAACAACCAAACCCAAACAACCTCAACAACACCCCCCAAAAAAAAATTTTTACTGGAATTACTTGTGTTTCAGCTTTTGCCTGTTGTTTTTTGCCCTTTCACTGGGCACCACTAAAGAAGATCTGGCTCCATTGTCTTTATTCCCTCCCATCAGGTGACAGATGCTCCAGTCCCTTAATCACCTCGGTGGCCCTTTGCTGGGCTCGCTCTGGTATGTCATGTGTGTCTCTTGTCCTTGGGCGCTCAGCACAAGATACAGCACTCCAGGTGTGTCTCACCAGCGCTGGGCAGCGGAGAAGGATCTCCTTCCTCCACCTGCTGGTGATGCGGTACCTAGCACAACCCAGGAAGCCACTGGCCTTTCATGCAAGGACTGGCTCATGTTCTACTTATCTTCCAGGACCCCTGGGGCCTTTTCTGCAAAGGTGTTTTGCAACTGGTTGGCCCCAGCCTGTATTCTGGTGCCTGGGGTTGTTCCTCCCCAGGGGCAGGAGTTCATTTCTTTTTTTTTTTTTCTCAAACTTCATGAGGTTTTAGTAGGCCCGTTCCTCCAGCCTGTCGAGGTCCCTGTGAATGGTAGCGCAACCCTTTGGAGTATCAACCACTCCAGTAAATGACAGATTGCTTTTGAACACTATACTAGTAACATGCTTTAGGTCTATGTCTAGCATAGATTTCATTCGGTTGGTAAGACTGATGTGTTGAACAGCTCACCAATGGGTCCTACCTGTAGGTAAACATGTGTATGGTCTATCTTGTGAACATTGACTGACTTAGTATGAATGAAACCTTTGCAAGTGAAAATGAAAGCTCAGTGTTTTTGTATAGACTTCTTGTTAATAAAGGAAGCTTTAAACATATTTCTTCATACTTCAAAGTGAGAAAGGTGAAAGAAAGTTTGCTTGTCTGTTTGGATCAGTATAAAAAGACACCAAAGTTCATTTGGAATTTTCTTTTGCATTTTTA